GTAGAACTGGAACTCAGTTCCAAGCGATATAAAGTACTCCCCAACTTTACAAATATTCACGAAAAAAATATCAGAATTTTCCTCGTTCAATTGTACTTGTGATCTTTGCAAGGAAAACATATGTGACATCAGTTACTTCTTGTTTACATTATATTTAGCGCTGGTAATTTATATTAATGGGTTTTAATTAGCTCGAGTATATCTAGAGATTATACCAAATATAAATAAAGAAGTAAAAAAATCTGAGGAAGCTGCCATGTGGTGACATGGTGCAACTAGCTGAAAGACAAGGACAGACCGTTCTTACACAGCATCAGTAATGCCGGTTTACCTTCGTGTTAAATCTATTGTGCAAAGAAGACACAGAAAGTTGAACGTGAAGACCTCTTCACAGGAGGGCTGATGATTCCTAATGGTAGCGGGGATTGAAGCCCCTGTCCCCTTTGGCACCCGAAATCTCTACATTCATCTCTCTGTCTTCAACTAATTTTTGGATGCAGTCCTTTTTGTCAAATCTCCTGAGTCCATTCCAACAATGCCCTTAATTTTGCAAAAACCAAAATCCATTTAAAAATACTGATGACCATGCGCAAAACCATTGCATCGGATAAAGCTTTGCTCTGTTTTGTTGATTCAACATATCAAACTACTCGGATAAGGAATACCTTTGCTTGAACTTTATCAATAGTAGCTCATGTGACCAACTTTAGACAAAATCTGTTACTAGCTCCAGCGTAATGTTTGTCTATATACAAAATGAAGACTCTGACACCACTTTTGAAAATATTGAGGCCTTAGATTTGAAAAACATATACATTTTGTCAGCCGATGGCATGCGACAACGTAACAGAGGCACGGCCAAGTAAGGGAAGGGGGCAGAGGGTCTATGGTCCTGAGATTCTGAGTCAGATAGATTTCGTTTGTTTTTGATAATCGATTGAACTTTTTACTTTTCAACCCCTCTAACTTCAAGTTCATGGCACGGTTACTGCTCAATTGATGCTCGATATTAATAATTATATATTTTGGTTTTTTCCGTTTACGGTTATCTACAACGAACGGATGCCTCGTCAGTCAGTAAGGCTCATCAGTCTATCCTTTAGAGTTGAATAAAATTTAGACCCAAATACCCAAAGATGCTCAATATAGCTGCTTTTACAGTCTCGCGCCACGATTGCTTGGCCTCACGACTAACTTCATTCCCTATTTCGCTCCAAGATATGCAAACGCTTTCTGCCCGTTACCAGTTCTCCTGAAAGTTACAAGTAAGTCAGGGTAAGCAGGCCTGGCCACTTGAGAAGGGCCATGGCTCATGCTCCCCTCCAGGCTCTCCTCAAATGCTGGAGGGGGGCTACAGATTGCTCTCCTAAATTGCTTTGAAAATAAAATTGCTCTCCTTGAAATCGATTTTCCTTTGCTTCTATTCTCATTAACCTTCAAATAGTTCACCTGGAAATTGCTTGGAGAGATGTTTACTGCTCCCTTGTTGAAATTCTTATGGCAAGGCCTGGGTAAGGGTCGAGATAACGCTGTGGAGAGGGGGGCTAGGGGGTTTGAGCCACTTGTTCATAGTTTTCTCTCTCTAATGAATTATAAAAAATGCAACCGCGCAGTTTTCTTCTTCTAATATTCTCGCATCAAAAAACATTTAATTAGATTACCCGAATAATTTGCGAATGGGTACCAGTTTTATCTATCTTGGGGCATTGAAGGACCTTATGTCGACTTACAGTACAAGTTTTTTTGACAAGACAGCTTTTTTGGTCCAGCTTTCAGGCATCCTTTTTCCTAATTTCAGCACTAAAATATTCTTAACATCAAATTGGAAAGCTTTTCATTACTGAACATAAGCAGTGATGGAGAAGATGGAATGCTATATGCTTTATTTCTCTAAATTCCCTAAATGTCATAACATCAACGATTGAAGAAAACCGATAACTGTAAAGACACTTCTTCGCACATTAGGAATTTCCTGTTATCAGATTATCGTCACAAAACGAAATATTTCACTTTTACACGGCGATGTCCTATGAAATTTTGAATATCTAAACTTTGCAACTTTCTTAGATTTCAAAGCCCCAGCTCTGAACTTTCTTAGCGTTTTGAAGATCAGAGCAGAACTTTATCATAAAATACTTTCTTATAAAAAAATGTGTATTGAATGTATATAAGAATACAGCAGCCCTCCTCCACATTTCCATACATATCTCAGCACTTGAGACAGTGTTAGAATTTCTCAATGTAGAGTATAGGGATCAGAATAAAAATCAGGGAGAAGGTTATTAATGGAATCAAATGCAAATTTTGCTTGCTCATTTCGAAATCCTTCATATATCAATGCATGAAAATTGGAACAAATATCTTCAACTTACTGCAAGGCCTAACCCACTTTTTTGCTAAACAAAAGAACTTTCGTACTTAATCTCGGTACATGGTAAGCCTATAATTAGCCCTTGCTCCCTTTCTACTTTCAATCGTTAAAATCTCTTATGAGTGGAAGTATTATCCAATTAATACTGGCAGAACAGTGCCAGGGGACTTGAATGAACCAAATGATTGAACATTTTATCCTAAGACCCCGTTTACACAAGACCTGGACCAGATCGGATCCAAAAGTATCCGGATACTTTTGGACAGGATAGGTGGACAGAATTGGGAAAATATGAGGACATAGTACGACGACAAAGTTTCGCAATAATTCTTCAACACAGTAGTCTATCAACTTGATGTTCGGTTTTCTTGCGCCAAAACGCCACGGATTACATATTAAAACTACCTTGAATTGAAAAATATTCTGTCTCACTTTCGACAAATAACGTAGACGGTTCCGATCTGGACCAGGTCCACCCGTTTACACGGGGTCCGGTCCAGATCGGATATATACAGGATATCCTCTGAAAGGTATCCCAAAAGTGTTCGGATAGCGGATCCAAAAGTATACGGATCCACCAATTCCCGTGTAAACGCAAGGCCTAACTGTACTCTTTTGGATCCATTCTCGTGTAAACGGGGTCTAAGCCTTTACATTTAAGTTTCTCTCTACAAATCACAACAAAATCTAGTTAGGGGCATTGCTGTGTGGCGTTAGGAATCGGAGAATGCCGATGATTTGTAGCATCTTGCAGATAGAAAACTCCGTTTCTATTATTTTCTTGCTTTTAGTTTCATCTGTTAGCTATTGTTTCATCAGTTTGACTGACCATTTATTGCTGTTCTAACCGTTGAGTTTTTTTAAATGAGAAAATGCATCATTTTCTCTTACTTTCGAAATGACGACAGATTTGATCAAAAATTAAAAATTTCAGGTGCCGACAGGGTCTCATTAGGAATTTTTAGGGGTGTATATACCTGTTGATCCCTTTAGCGACATCTCGCCACGAATAGATCAAAAAGAAGATACATTGCATAATGACAAGATGCAGGGAAGGTAAGCCAATACACAATCACAAACACGTGGGTAAGCAAACTATGGGGGCTGATATCTCGCAAAAATCCAAGAGACCACTGGTACACATCTATCTAAATGTGAATTTATTTATTTTTTAGTTCTGTTCTGTGAAATGTGTTCAAAGTTTTGGACTACATGTTATCTTGCCATTGTTTATCATTGTGTCGTTTATTTCTACCTTCGAACTATGAGGAGTACACGTAATTAAGATGAATACAGTTATAGACACAACTTTTAAATAACAACCAGAATTATAAAACAACTCACCAGAGCGCTTTTTCTATGCTAAGTAGAAGATGAACTCCAGTTTAATCTCAGAATGTTTAGATCTTCGCGCCGCCATTTTGTATTCATCCCATGTGAGCCCACGCTCCTCCAAAGCGTCAAATGGGAACAAGCAAGTTAGGTACAATCATCAACACCTTGAACTGAAAACTGAGGGTGTAATCATAGTCCATAGACAATGGTGCAATGTAGACCGATCTGAAAACAACTAGACTTTTGTGTTTAAATTTTCTTACCACAGCATTGTACTTTTTTGGTCTTCAAATCCCAAGCAAAAAGCCCTACAAACCGTTTACATCTAAGGATATACTTGGACAATGTCTGCATTTCTTGACATTTTTCCACACTTGGTAATCCCCATGATTTTAAAACGCCTCTTTATTATATTAGGTAATCAGTAAAAGGAGGAAAGAAAATCAAGATTTTTAGTCAGTTGAGAAATTCTGCAAGAAAAGCTTACAATTGTGATTATGTCCAGCTAACTTTAGAAATCCTGTTTTCGTGTAAGAAACTGTGTGAAACAGTGATGGGAGAGTGAGATTAATTTATGGATGATATCAACATAAATAGTTAGTTTGAATGAAGTTCTTGATTTTAATAAGGCAAGAAAATAAATATTTAGATTTCCGCCTGGGGAGAGAGATTTTCGTGTTTAGGCTTATCGTTACGACTTTTGAGTGCCCCTTAGACTAGTCTGCGTTGGCTGTGTTCCAGATTTTTGCGTGTTGATTGGCGCGCAATAAAGTATTTCGTGACGTCTAGTTCTTAATCTTAAAAGGATATCACGGAACACTGAAATTGCCATAAAGATATATGGCGCAATTATACTGATGTTTGTGCACAGATGCAATAATTGTGCCATTTTAAACATGGGTATCACAATAAAGAAACATGGGCAATGGGTTTTTTACCTACTACTCAGAGATGTCGAGCTGAAAGAGGCCTTCTTAACCCTGAATAGTAGCCCATTTTTATGTTTATATTGTTTTGGTGAAATTTTTTCGCCAGGGCTCTCTTTGTTCTAAACCTCTGCTTGCATCCTTCAGGCTCTACAATCATGTTCTATTTTTGTGCTTTTCTGTTTGCAAATACTTACTCCATTCCTTAAAAAAGGTTAATGCTTCAAAACATAAATCAAACAAACTTGAAACACAGTCGTTCCCAATTATATGTTCTCTCTCAACATCTTATACAGCTCTTCGTCTGGAAAAAATCTGCTCTTTGACGCTATTCGATGCAGAAATTTTCTCAAAATAAAGAAAGTCTATTCAATGTGCAGAAACGTTTTTACAAAAACTATTATCGTACAAAGCATCGGCATGAAACTGTTAAAACTTTACAAATAACTAATGAAGGTTGATCTGCCTCATCCTATTGTAAATATACAAATGTCAGCATTAACCCTAAGTTACTGGGAGTCTTCAGTAGTCAAAGGTAACAGAGGGGTTCTAGCTGGTTTTGTAAACATGAACTGGCAAGGAATTTTTTGTAAAACTGAACGGTTGGAAATGGGGGCTTGAAACTTCTTCTGTACACTTTTTCTTATATCATGGTGATGGAAAATAGCTACAGAGCAAGACTCTTTACATGATGGTTGATATCTCGTTCAAAACAGAATCCACTTTGTTTCATAAGCATTGTTCAACGGTTTTTGACTTTGGAACAAATCTGCCACTTCGAAGCATCGATGCCAATCAAATTTAGTGGTTATTTTTAGAATCCTAAAAATCTCAAATGGGCTTTTTAAAGAAAGCAATGATATAGGAACAAATATCGTTAATTGTTGCAACGTATTACTATAAATGTCGAGATTAAAATATTTACACTTAATTACAATGCTATTTACAATGCCTTAAAACATTCAGCTAATTGTGTATGCATAATATAAACTATGCGAGTGCTTGCATTACACGTCATCACATAAGCAAAAAGATCTTAATTCTTCAGAGTCCAAAACAGTAGTAACCTTTCGCTGTTCGATGAAAAAGAACTGAAAAGCCAAGCTTTGTTTTTGCTCTTCATCAATAAAGTTAATAACTTTTAGGCCTTTTCATTGGGAAAAGGTGACCACTTTTGCTTTCCATCTATACAATTTGATGAAGTTTAGACCTGTTCGTTGTGAAAGGTAGCCACTACTTTGGACTCTAGCGTTCTCATCCAGCTGAAGCATCAGACATTTCAGTTTTATCTTATCATGAAATACTCTAAAATTTTCAAGAAATTTTAATCAATTTCTCAGTGGGAGATGCTTCACCATCGTAAGTTATGGCTTCTTCAAGGAGCTTTGATAATCAAATCATCAGAAAAAAATTACATCAATTAAAAGAGTCGAGTAAGATATATTGGTTACTGCATAATTTATGTTACAGATCGGTGTTCTTGCGCCTTGAAAATTGTCACCTGGATTTTGTGAAGCATCTTCTTTGTCAGTGAGCTTGTTCGCATTCCTAAACATGCCGTTTGGAATTTGATCAGATTCAAACAGGTGCGTTTTGACGTTAAGTTGCTTCTTGGAAGACGGCCAAAGGCGAAACTGCAGGGTCATGTTGGGACCTGGTGTTTTCGACGCCATACAGCAGTTTGTTAGACCTTGTTACGAGTTACCTTCGGTCAGTTTTGAATGAAATCAACGGTCATTCAAAATAGCTTATGCTTGTGAATGCAGAAGGGGTTTAGTTCTGGGTAGAGCTTCGAAATCACCTTCTCTTTGTAGGCTCTCATCCTCTGTACTGCTTGTTGAGAGCAATGTGCGTCCAATTCTGTCCTAACGCACTTCTTCATAACATAGTACTCACTGCAATGAATAGTTGTTCGATTAATTATATAATTCTTAAACCAGTAGCACTGAAGTTAAGGTAAAACTGTAAAAGGTACAATAGACTAAAATCGTACAACTGTTCTTCCAAAAAACATACGATCCCTTTCACATGGCAGCAATTTACTATTAAATATGCAGACTGTATACTTACTTGCAAAGCAGCCTATTGCTTCTATTGTGTCTCCATTTCCTCTGGAAATCTGTAATGCATGTGGCTTTTCCGATATAATAGTCCAGTGTACAGCCAAGGTTTCGTCTGGCTCTCGCACCAAGAAACGGTGTAACCAAGCCAGCATTGTGACAGTAATCCTGCAAGCAAACAGATCGTCCATCTAAAATTCACATAAATTTTTACAAAAACAAAAGCAGCAGTATCTTGGCTTATAAACTCTTAAGGATACAAAAAACTAATAGTTTTTCAAGAAATTCCACAAATTCTTCAGCAGGTAAATATTTTGACGTTTGAAACATTCATCATTCCACTATATTTGACAATTTCCAAAACACCATATGTCATCAAATCGATGAGGAGATGTAGATATAAAGATAATCTCTGCATCCATACTCTTTCCATACCTTTTTAATTGTATGGTGCGTTTGGACCTTGTTCAGCTTTGTGTAAATCTTGTAAATCATGCTTGAGGAATCAGCTTGCGCTAAACATTCGCCGTCAACTGTCGTAAAACATTTTAGTAGCTCTTTAGCTTTGTCTCTGTGAACAAAAATAACATTTATAGAAAGAGTAAAGTAAAATGTCTTTATACTTAGCTCCATATCTAAATGAAATAGTGGACCATATTTGAATATAAAATAATACTTGAGTTAAAACGACGTTTCACGTTTAACATCGGAGGTTTCATTACATCAAAAACACTCGATATTTTATACAGCAGACAGTTTTGAAACCAATTGCTTCTATTTTCTGATCAACATTAAAATTTCAAGCAATTTGAATACTTACGAGCAACTCTGGAATGGCTTTGCGCGAAAGGAAACGAAGAATTCGTTTTCACAGTAAAATCTCTTCAATTGAAATTTTCTTGAATAGCATGGAAACTTCTTCATATCGTCGATATATCCACAGGTCGATACTTCGATCAGAAATATTAAAGCTAGAAATTAAAAAAGCAGAATCAAAATATTGAACAATGAACGAAGGTTTTGATGTAAGTTTGCAAAGAAGGCTCCTGGTTGTATCACAAAGAAAAAGAATTGCCTTCAAATTGCATGCGTCTGGCTTTTTGCTTCTGCGTTTCTCAATTAAAATGGCTAAAGTAGAAAATTTTGATACATTGCTACACACAAGTGTCATTTTAAACCTCAGGCGTACGACACATCCAATAATACACAAGTGCCAGAAACACATACAATAAGGATTTCTATGGTGCACTATTTTTAATTTGTCCCCGTATGTTTGAAAACACAGGAGAAACGGGGACCTTTTTGGGCACTAGCTCATTCGTTTCTTAATAGCTAGTAGTATGGAAGTTACATAGGTTGCAGAAAGAAGAAAAACGCAGAATATGGCAAAAGAAAGGTCCTTTGAGATTTCTCAATTACTAGTTTGCTGATGACATATTATGTAATCTCTAAAAGCCCAGCGCGTAAATACGAGGGTAATTATTTTGAAAATATAGGGTATATTAAGTGCCTCGTGCCCATCTCGTAGCATTGTGTCTATATTTATCAATATTTTTCATCAAAATTTGTTTAAAAACAATTCGCTCAAAATAAAACTTTAAGGTGGTACATGATACATATCGATCTATATATAGACTTTCTCATGCTATTGTAAAGAAAAAATCTCGGATCATAACTAACTTATAAAAGACCTCATGATGTAAAAACATCAGATTATAGATTGGCCAAAAAAATAGATTGGTTGTTATGATGAATAATAAATCCGCGATATAGAATATAAGATTATAAGCTGTTTTGCTTAAGAAATGCCCACACACCATTTGCAGCAGAGTTTCCAATTCATTCAAGCTTGATGTAGCAAATTAGGTCTTTTTATCTTTATAAAAGGTAATTTTTTGAAAGCCTTAAATGCGATTGATAGCTTAAGCAAATATTGATAATGACACAGAAATGAAAACAAAACATCTAAAGAATTCTGGTGCTATGCATAGAATGAAATTGTTGCACAAAGGGGCCTTCGAATAGCCGTCGACCTACGTTGGTTTTCGTTGTAAATTGGACGTTTAGTAAACAAACATATAGCTGATTAAGGAACAAAGAATTTTATCTTTGAGCACAATAATTGTGGACTTCCTACGTAGCCTTATGATAACATCTTAAGGTGAAACATAGCCCTAAGCTGACGTGTGTGGCCGGCGGACAACGCAGAGGTTCGGCATAACTTTTGTCTCATCTTCGAGACGGCAATCCCTACAAAGATACTTTCAATGAGTTTCGTATCTGCACCTCAAGATGACAAGACAGCTCTTTCCTTTCTAGATAAGGGCCTCGATGTGAAAATCATTAATATCTGTACTGGAAATCCTGTTTTCTCAATAGGCGTTCTCATACATGAGTGTTTCGCAACACGGAATATTTCATCCCTGGATAAATCTGGTTACTGCTTTAAACTATCGATTAAAGGCAACTAGCATGGACAGCTCACCCTTGACATTGTTTATCGGGATCTGTCAGTAAAATCAATTGACTGAATTTAACCTTTGACACGACTCCTGAACAATAGACACTGATTTCGCGTTCCTTATAGCTTTCAATCTTATTAAAAGTCGATGACGTCACAATAGATTAGTTTGGGATCCCTAAGAAGTGCTTTCGTCTGCATTATTCTTATAAGAATGTCAGTTAAGGGGCTTAGACGTTATTGTTCTGAACTTTCTTAGATATCTGAGGCTCAACGTGTTCATAAGCAACTGAGAAAGACACAAAAATAAATCATGAAAATAAAAAAGTCCTTAGACCATTTGTGAAGCCCATAAAAACTAATACTGCATCAATTCACTTCAATCTTTGGCTCGGTCTTCGGATGCAGTTCCTCAATTGGCAATATCTTAGTCTCGGCTTCTTGTACAACAATTTTCCTGTACGAATCGAATGAAGCTACTTCGTATGCGTCTAAACAAGGAACAGTTCACTCTTGCAAATAGTGCTTGAGATTCCCACGAAAGCAAAAGGATTTTCAGGAATTTTTAGATAAGCCAAAGGGTTTACGAGATTTTCATGGACTGTTTTGCCCCTCGCGTCAAAATTAAGTCTGGCTTATGTGTTTTAAAACAACTTACTGCCTTAAGCTTTAATAGAAGTATGTTATTGGGTTATATGCTTTCTAGCCAATTCAGTTGTGGCCATACCATTTGCATGAACAGAATAAAGATCAGCCTGTTGCTTACTGCTCCTTGCACTTAAGCTCCTATGCCTTCCTTACTTTATGCAGTGCTAAGAACCGCATATTGGCTGGACATGTTTTGAGGTGGCCTAAGATTATTTCCTTACTCGACAATTGCAATTTCTTTGGTCGTTTACGGTTATCATTGAAGACAAAGTTGTATTCAAACCCATTCTTCCTTTTTGCATTAATTTCTAATCATCATCAATGAGCTCAGCGAACGCTAAAATTAAAACTTATAATTCTTTTAATCGTTTTAACGTTCAGCTTCATTTTGTGTATTTTTCTAAGTGCCTCCTTTTATATTAATCTGTGGTTAGCCATGTTTTAATTTTGAGTCAAATTTCATATCATCAAAATACGACCCATAATGAGAAATAACAATTCGTGTTCTACCATAATCTATTGATTACATCTTCAGATCCTTAGCCTAACAGGTTTACGTAGAGAAAAATGGGACAATGGTTTCTTATTGGGCTCTTGATATGCATTTATGAGTACACCTTCAAAAGAAAAGCTGGAAATCAAATGACTTGATTCTGGAGGTTTTGGGTGAGAACCTGCTTACGACTCTCTATGAATTATGATGTGTGACAAATAGGCAAATTATTTTCTCGTAGGAGACATGTTTTTTAGAAAAATATACTCGAAAAGAACAAGAAACAATTCATAGGCGCTGTTATATTTGAGAAAATCTTATTACCTTTCATTTTAATAAACTTTTGAGTATAACCCTCTTTTAATAGATATCTAATACTAAAGCATTTCTTCGGTTTGCAATGTTTTGGTCATTCTTTTTCAGGCAAGTAAAAAAAGTAAAGCACAAAAAGCACGCGAAGAACGTCATTGATCGTCATCGCCAATGTAAAATCATCTTGTGCATCCAAGAGAACTCTCTACTTTCCAGCTTTCCACAAAGGAAACTGCTTATAAGCAAACATACTCTTAAAAACAGATGACCTTGTGACATGGATTATTACCGCTTATAAAGCGTAGGCCCATAACGCATAAAAGCAAACCGAGATATGATATCAAAACGCGCGGCCTTTCAGATCATAACGGTTTCAACCTATGGATCAGCCCTCATATCAACGGCATATGCTTTATGTATTGACCAGAATACTCCAGCAATGTTATCGTAGATTTGGTTTTCGTCATTCCAACAAAAGTAACAGTAACATTTGCTCTTTGGGCGAGTGAAAATTGAATTTATAGCCGCAAAATTCAACCTGATCCGCTAGAATTGACGGTCTCATTCAAACAACAAAAAATAAAGATTTGAAGCTTGCTGACCATGTCCCTGCCTTTCCAAGATAAATTTATCACGTTTACTAAATAGCAAAATTCATTCTTATGTCACGTTAAGAGTCACGTTTTCTCAATTGGAGTGGGAAAGAGACGTTGCCTACTTATTCTGTGTACTTTAGTGGTAATGCAGCAGATATTTTTCGAATTACTCAAAATGCGTCAGCAGTTGTGAACCTCCGGTCTCAATCTATCTGAGTTCATGTTCTTGAAAATATCCACGTAGTTTTACAAAATGTTCATCACGTGTGTGGTTTGGCCACAAATTCTTTTTGATGTTGAAATTCTTCCTCGTGTTGAAAGAGGTCCAATTCTTGAAAAGGCGGAGGATGGTTGACGTTATCAGACCACGTGCATTAGAATTACAAACAAGGTTTTCTACCATAAGGCAACGTTTCCATCACTACAGCCTCCCCAGGACTTTACGAAGTCGTCATTGATCCTGTCCGTTATTGAAATTATAACAAGCAATCAAACTGAACAAACTGTTTTTGACAGTTTTAAGGAAGAGTATCCTTCACAAAGCTGGAGCAATAAAACATAATACAAAGGCAAATAGAAAGAAAGCTAGTACTGAAATTAAAAATCAAATATTGTTCGTGATTGAACACCCATGTAGCCGATCAGGATTTATTTCACAACCCATTTAACTGAAAAACGCAGTTACCATGTAAAATAAGTTTTTTCAAATAATTTAAACAAATTGAGATTAAAAGTCTAGACGTGGCCCTGCGACATGATCCGACGCCCTTGACAGTATCTCTTAAGAGCCTGGACGGTTTCTTCAGCACACTTAATTTTGATCCTCGGCTCAATCCAAATATACAGAAAGAGACCTGACAAACTTTAGATGCTAAAGATTTTTCTCTTTTAGAGGTGAAACGTTGAATCGTAATTTCAAGGAATGGTCTGTTAATTATAATAGCAGGATCTAACTCTCGGAATCGTCAGCGTTGATTTGTGCACTTGCACGCGTGTTTGTGATCACTGTGATTTCAGTACAGGACTGGAAAAGGTCAAATCTATTTTTGCGAGAAAAATAAATCACGAAAAAGCTGATTAATCGCAAAAACAGCAAGGACATTGCATGAATGCAGACTTACCTACGATTGGAACCATGAAGCAATTCTGCAACGCAGTCATCTTGAAATGCAAATATCGTCCAGGAACTCTTTAGCTTCTCAGCTGATCACTTGACGGTCGTGCGCCTGCAACTGGAGTATCTGCCTTGATTGCTCCTTTATCACTGCTCAAGAATGTTTGATCACTCGATTGACGTCACAGCCTGTGTAGTGGCAAATAATCTTTTGAGAAATTGAAAAGGAAGAAAGGACCGGTGCTGAAGAGGATCTTGAGGCAAGGCCGGGTCTCACGGATCAAAGCAAGAAAAAATGAAATTGAAGTCCGGGGCATTTGCCAGGTTTTTATACACCTTTAAGTGATTAAATCATTTATTAATTAACCCTAGAAACTGTCGTCGTGTGCCTGGATTAGGAAAATGGATTAACCTTTATGGACCTACGTGCAACAGCTCTTAATAAGTGAATCGCTGCTTCAAATGTTTTGATGCAAAAATGGCTAATTTCGATAGAGAGACTGCATGCTACTTGAAATGTTAGTTTTTCTTAACTCCATTCAAATTTCATCCAAGTGTTATCGTGTTTCTCAAGTGCTGCTAAAGGTCCATGTTTTCTCTCTTGCTGTTGGTATTTTTTAAAAGCCCACTCGTTGTCTGTTTAATTGCAATATGGGCTTAGACTTCATGGCAATCTACCTTTTATTTATGCCCTTTGAGCAAAAACAATCACTTATTCGGTGTTGCTTTCGTAATCAGCCAAAAGTTTATGATAAAATTATTCAACAAGGTGTTAAACTGCTTTACATGGGCAACAAACTTTGATGAAATTTATCGAATAAAACGATGTTATTTAGTTTTATTTAGTTTTTATCTTATACTTACTTTCTAGATTGCATGTTTTTAGCAAAATTTCGCCTTTTTGTTGCAAAACATGTTTATTCTGGGTGCGGTTATCAAAAATAAACAAAATCAAAACATCAAAAGAAGCTATTATAAAAATACACGATTGTCTTTATATTGAATTATTGACGTGACATGCCTGACAAGAGAAAGGAAGTAAAATGCCTATAGAAAGATTGCGGTCGGCGAAGGCAAACGAAACTTTTTTATAGTACTCTCACGAAAATGCAGCGTTAGGTATACACTCTTTTTTATAAAAATACTACAAGTTTTGCCCAGCTTCGGTGTTCCTAAGACATCTTCGTCTTGACCTGAAAATATTCTCTTGTAATATATTTTCATACCTGAAATGGTTTTAGGGGAACATCCCCCAACCTCAAATAGGAACCATGCTTTTTGAAAAGACTAGATTTGTCAGTCTTGCGATTCTCTGTTATGAAAATTGCAAAACAGGAAACTACTAAAAAGTGAGACATAAATATGTGAGCTGCGGATGAGCAATGTTCATAAAATTTGATGATTCTGAGTCTGGATATTCTTATATACAATATTCTTATAAAAAGGAGTGTACCAAATGCTCATTCGACTCAACTTCACCGAAGTGTGATATGTGTAAAGGGAAGTATCAGGGTCCAGAAAGTTGTTAACCTTCCTCCAGACAAAAACATCCCCGAAGGCAAACCTTCCTCGCAAAACAGTAGAAGGTGGGCGTGGCTTGGGTGTGTCATAGAAGCTTCTATTGTTTTTCGTGGACCTTCCTCCGGTCAGTGGCCATGGGACCGTAATGTTTTCCTGACTTTGAGGAGTATTTCGCCATTGTGTTAGCTCAAGAAAAGCAACTGGCATTGACTGCAGAGCTAAATGTCTATAAAACGTGACAGGATTAACTCGTGTTAAGGAATCTATAACCTTCAAAGTATATGGACGTCCCAATTAAATAAAGGTCAAAGTGCATAAATGGCCTTTAATTTCCATGCTAACTTTTATAACAATAACCAAAAGTTCCTCCAAGCGAGAGTACTAAAAGAACATTGGAAAAACTAGACAGCTTTGAGTCGCAAAAACATGAAGATCAAGAAGTTATGGGCTGAATAAAAAACCTGAAACTGTATTCACAAAGATACTTTTCAGGGCTATACAACGAATAACCTTGCTCCTTGCTTTTAACATCTCGTGCCCCCACAAATCTTTTACCCCCAACCCCTTACCAGTATTTCACTCCGTGGCCCCAGTAAAGGCAAAAGCAACGACTTTGTCATCTATGCCCCACTAATTTTCTTTTTACGCTTTGTTAGACACTGAAACTCGTGCTGGAGAAGTTGGAAAGATTCATCTAAAAATCTTAGAAAGCTTTTCGGTTTTTAAGCTATGAAACTGAAAAGTTGACGATTAGAAGATGCGACATTGGCGAAATCTCAAATATGAAGTCCTAGACCTAACCCCAATCATCTGTGCTTTTTGGTGAAGCTTAACGTGATAAAGATCCTATTCAAGCCGTCTTTTTTAATGGATCATTGCAATTAGATAGATACTGTTGGGCATGATTCAATCTATGCACACAGTCTAACCAATCTCTCCGCTAGGTCACAAAGGATCACTGTGTTCCACTAGAGGTGTGTCAAGTAAGAAACTGAGGGATATGAAAGTTTCTCACAAATTAGAAACAGATTTTGTTGTCCTTTGCACCAGAAGCTTGCTGTCTCATTGTTGACAATGAAACCCCCCCCCCCCTAATTAGCAACCTGAATCTGGACCTGTGAATGTTGACCAAAATTCTTACCAATCAAACCTAAATGAATTCTGATACAAATTCTCACCGACCCCTTGTGAAATTCTCAAGAAAGGACTTTCATTGATAAATAACTTGACGAATTTAAGCCTTACATGTCTAGCAGACGAAACACTAACCTCAATATGCTGAATGTCATTTTTCATCCCCAAACATGTGTGTTTAACATTATGGACAGAGCCAACAAAAATCCTATTGTCCCTTCGTCTTTTAAACTTGCGTGAGACAGTGATTTGTCTGACCTTCATCAAAAATAAAGTTCTCTTAAGGTACACAAATGGTCAAGTAAAAGCAGGAATTTGTCAATTTTGGAAAATAATACGTTAGCTAAACTATCGTGTTGTTTTGATTCCTGCTTCGATGTTAAGGACATATTCAAACGAAATTAATGATCATTATTTTATAGCTAATTTGTGCTGAAAAAAATTGGTAGGAAATGCGTTTCAGGAAATACCTACTGGTGCGTATACCTGCAAGGTATGGGGAAACACAAAAGCTTTAATAAAGCTTGAACATCTCTTTTCAAGCAAGATGTTAGCTATCACTTCCTTGCACATAATGAAACTAAGAACAGAAAACTCTATAGTGACACCAAATTTTGAGCAGGACAAGATACCCAACAAAATTGTGACTCAGGGTTTTCGCAGACTATTTTGAAAGAGGAGGTTTGGAATCAAGTCAATAAAAGTGATTATCTTGATAGGCTAATTTTCGAGACGAATTTCGACTGACTTTTCCAACCATGAAAAGAAAGGACTTTCAAACATAGTCATCTGCCAATCTTTTTGCGGTCATAGAAAAATTTATACTCAATCAAATAGGTTTTTCGCAATTGAATCATGACACTCGAATGACGTCAATGCTTCCGAACTGGTCAAGTACGCAGCCCGAGGCCTAGTCTCTTAAAACCCAAATTAAGGCTTATACCAATCTTGAAAATCAGAGCATGTGGTATTTGCCAATAAAAGAAATCTTATTTTGATTATCGACTCAATTCGGTGAAATTGGTTGTGAATGGTATGCAACTTATATGACTCCAAAGCTGTCAGCTTATCCTGTTAGAAGCCCTCTCCAGGGCTGTCAAGCGCTTGCTCGTTCTATGCTTCTTTTCGCGTCCCCTTCGTCGGATTTTCAGCTTTATTTACAACCATTTGTGACTAAAATAACTGAAAAGTTGACGGCCTTTTTAATGCAATTATTTCCTTTTCTCTTAATGAAAATATATGTATTTCAGACAAATTTTACTTTTTATTTAAATCAGCTAATTTCAGTGCGGAGCAAAATCTATTTATTTTCTTCAAGATCTGTTATCTTTGCAATTTCAACAAGAATGTAGATAACCTTACAAGTTTTAATTTTCTAGCCTATCTCCCTTTTTTGCATGCAGACTTCTGACTAAGATAAGTATGAAAATGTCTTCCTTTAATGACTTGCTTTAATGACTGCATAGCTTTCTAAGCTAGCTTTAACGAATCCCTTTGACAAATGTTGAAAATGATATGTAGCCTAACAAGTACTACGAAAAGGTTTTCAAAGCAGTTCTACGTTTTAGCGTTTATTAATAGATCACAGAAGTTAATAACAGTAGTCTTTTGATAAGCTGTGTGTCTTTTTCTTACAAAAGGTAGTCTGACCTCTTCTTACATCTATCCTCGATGGAGATCAACATTGATAACGGGTAGAGCCAGAAGACAAAGCGCGCCTTTGCTAGAGAGCAGGGGTGAACAGGGACGCTTGAGTTTATTGTATCGTATTTTAAAGGTTGAAAAATATTTGGCCAGGGTAAGATCGGCTCGAAATTCCACCTAATGTACTAAAAATATCAGGATAAACTTTTCACTTGCTTTGTTTTCCATCTAAAGGTAAAACCTTTCCTTAGGTCCACCGAAATCTGTAGATATGTAAAAGAGTTTCTCGTTTGGAGGAATAACAGTAGTTTAAACTTTCGTTTAGAAATGCTTAACTGCACTCAGTCTATATAACTTAATCAAAATAACGTTCAGTTTTTGCAACTGATGAAAATTGACCAATTTGCAGGATTGAGCCCTGAGGCCATTAAAATTTTAATAAATATATATTGACAGATTTATGATATCATAAAGTAGGATTCTTGTAAATTATAACTGATCTATATTATTCCTACACTAAAGGTGTTTCTTGATTTCCAGTGAAGGCTGACAGAGTTCAAAATACTCCTTACATAAGCTTTTTGCATATTGAAAACATCACCAAGAACAGACATCTTACGGAGTGCACTTTTTATAGCACTTTCCAACAGCGAGTTAAATACTGGCTGGTTGGTTAGGTAAGGGGAACCAAGCCATGAGACTAACGGCTAATATCATTACGACACAACACCAGTACAGAGTTATGGGATTAATCGATGTGTCAGAATATAGATATATTCAGCGTAATACTATTGATTCTGTAATCAATATTAATTGCATCATACTGACAAGGGCTTTTGAAAAGCAGTTCAAAATAATTTAACCATATATGATCTTTTGCTTAATGGTTT